ATTCCAAGCCCTTCTTTGCAATACTGCCGTCTTCTTTGTGTAAAGTGTGTCCAATCGATAGCCATTTCTGTCTTCGAATCCAGATGCCAAAGGGCTACATGTTAGCCTTTCTGAGCAACTCTTAATTTGAGATTGTTTTAGGCCAACAAATTTGGAGAATTATTTTAAGACATATGTACATAAATATGAATACGAAAACTTTCAGGCGCCTGGTTATTGCAGTATTGACTTTTAAGGTTGAACTGTCAAGAGTGTACATTGGATTTGAAAAGCTTAATCTTTAAGCTGGAACTCAGAACCAAAGGCCGCTCTAGCTTTACTTATACGACGGTCAATTTCTTCTCCAGTTTGGCGTTTCATTCTGCCCCCGTATCGCTGTAACGACAATAGTTATGTATACATATGTATATGCAGTGTGCCACTGCAGATTTAACTCTACAAAAAAAGTTACGGCATACGCTTGAAAGATACTAGGGGCTTTTCAATGGGCATGGAGATTGTGCCTAGGCTTTCCTGCATAGAGCTGGTTAGAACCGGGGTTAGACGATCATGTCTTTTCTGAAAGAGAACGGTACATAAGCCATCCACTTCAGGAGGTTTATTGTATTCAAAGAAACCTATTGCGATTACAGAAGACCAGATAAACAGACATCTTGCCTCGTACCAGTCTTTCACGGTGATCTGTGGCGTTCTTTGTTATCTTTTGCTACAGGAACCCCGCCAGAAGGACTGGATTTTAACTGTGCCTCTAAAAAAGGTCCTGTGTAGTCTGCCTGCTTCCGAAGGGGAGAAAATCACAGAATTCGACTACTGACTTTGCAAATCTCTTTGCTGTAGGTGGTTTGTATTGACGCATCTTCATTCCGGTTCCCAATTCACTGTGCCCGGTGAAAGAGTTTCCTGAACTCTTTCGATAGAGCTGAGGGACGAAACAATAACTCGCAATCGAAATACTCAAGTGTTCAGGGATATGTATTGTTTTTTTTTTCAAATGTGTTCACTTTTTAAACTTAAAAAAAAAGGAACAGTCCAGCGCCTTCGTCTTGGCCTGCAGGCTGTATCGGAGATACAGCCGCTAAATTTAAACGTAGAATACGTGGTATGGTTAAGAGCATATCCAAGTAAAAAAACAAAAGCACACACTAAGCAATAATAATATCGGTAGCGAAATCGATAAAAACATCGATAAAGAAATCGATGAAAATATTGATATCAAAATCAAAAAAAAATCGAAAGCAAAATCGATAGCAAAATCGATAACAATACTGATTACAAAATCGATTACAAAATCTATCAAAATATCGATTACAAAATGGATAACAAAGTCGATAACAAAATCGATTATAAAGTCGATAACAAAATCCATAAAAATATCGATACCAATATCGATAGCAACATCAATAAAAATATCGAATATAAAACCTATAAAAAAATCTATAACAATATCGATAGCAAAATCGATAAAAATATCGGTAACAAAACCGATAAAAGTATCGATGACAAAATCGATAACAAAATCGATTACACAATCGATAAAAAAATCGATAAAAAATATCGATAACAAAATCGATAAAAGTATCGATCATTATATCGGTAAGTTCCGAAAATATCGATAGCAAAACCATTAACAATATCGATAACAAATTCGATGAAAATATCGATAACGAAAGCAATAATAATATCGATAGCTAAATCGTAAACAAAATCAATAAAAATATCGATGACAAAACCGGTAAAAATATCGATTACAAAATCGATTAAAATACCGACAACAAAATCTATAAAAATATCGGTAATAAAATCGATAACAAAATCGATAAAAATATCGATAACAAAATCGATAAATAATCTATCATAAAATCGATTACAGTGTCGATAACAAAATCGACAACAAAGTCAGCAAAATATCTATAACAAAATCGAGAAAAAATATCGATAACAAAATCGAAAAAATACCGATCATTATATCGATAAGTTCCAAAAATATCGATAGCAAAATCAATAACATTATCGATAAAAATTTCGATAGCAAAATCGATAAAAACATCGGTAATAAAACCGACAAAGTATCGATTATTATACCGATAAACCCCGAAATATGTACTTACGGACACATACATACTTTTTGTCTCCTTCCCACACTTCCAACATATGCACGTGTTTGCAAAATGATGACGAGGTGATTTTGTATGGAAAATCATTTATGCCCATATATTTGAATAAAATAAACATATATATAGAAGATATCAACCAATACTTCCCATATACCAAACGAAAGGAAAACTCTTGAATTTTTGATTAAAGAAAACAAAAACAAAATCATTCGAGCGGTTTTCGAGCATTTTGGTAATGAAAAAAATTTGCAAATTTTTTCAACAATTTTTTGCCTTAAAATGCTCAATATTTGTTAAATTTATATAAAATTTGTACCCGATAATATTTCTACTGCTCCAAAGAACCTATATCCCGAAAATGAAAGTTATATATGCCAACAATAAGTTGCTAGAGCACTTTAAAGGCTCAAAATTGACCCCAAAATAAGGCAATGTTTACCGTTGTTATGACGACAGAAACCGAATTGGTTATTTACAAAAACGAATCTGTCGACAGGTTTGGAATTTTATCTTTGAAACGCCACACTTTCCTTTGAAATCGCTTTATTAGTTCTCGTGCAATAAGCGTTTTTGTGAAGCTCTAAAAATTACAACTACAACATTTGAACATAGCCCCCATACCTTAAGGTAAGACGTATTCTACGTCAAAAAAAAAAACATTTTCATATGATTCATAGCATACTTTCAGGCGATTAGCCGACACGTTAATTTCTAATCGTTTCTGATTTAAGAATGAGACCATTTTTTAGTTATATTTCTATAAAATACTGTAACCCATATACATACTCCCACTCACATCGAACGCAAACAACTACCACAACAACAAAACGCTTAACATTAAAAGTCATTCAACTGCTTAGTTAAGCTGGCTTCATGCGCTTGGTGGCTACAGCAGCGGCGGCGCGCCTGTCAGTCAGCCAAGTCCATCGGCCTTATTCGCCGCTTAATGGATAAAAGATGAAAAGAATCAAAATTATCGAATGCGAGAATTTATGTGGTGTGGTGCTGTTTCTTTTTTAATAATTGAGTGCCATTGTACGCCGAAAAAATTCACTTACAAATATATACGAATACATATATATGTACAAATCTATGTGCGATCACATGTAAATGTATACACAAATGTGTTTATGTACTTTCGTATGGTTTATAATGACATGCATTATTTATTTTGAATTATTTTATTACTTTCAAGTGTTCTATTTCGTATTTCTACAAAACATACATACATATTTACAAACATAGATACAACATAATTACTCTTTGCATTGCTTTCACTAAGATTTCTCATTCATGTTGTTGTTTTTTTTTTTTTAATGCTAGCAGCGCGCTATGAAATATTCATCTGAAAGCCTTCTACTAATGGAAGCTGTTAAAAATGGTCAATTCGCATTTGAGTGCATACATATGTATGTATGTATGTACATATGTATTTATTAATCACATTTCTATTCGTTGATATAAACAAAATGGCCGCTTTGTCGAAATATCTACTTTTAAAACTGACTCAAGTGTGTCTATGTATGCGTGCGTACATACATATGTGTAATTACTAATAATAAATACGCGTAAATAAATTCAATCGCTTAAACAAACTAACCAATCAGCTTTCGAGTCTTTTTTTTTAATAGCACTTAGAATGATTCTAACGAACGAACTGGTCTGGTCGCTGTTTTATTTATGAGATGCTGTACGTTTGTTGTTGTACGATCGTTGCCATTTAATTGGTTATCAAATATGCACGAACAAATGTACATTAGGGTGCGACACCAAAAAAGTTGCGGGTTTTTTCACGGGAATTTTTAAATTCATTTTATTCTAAGACTTCCGCCATAATATTTTGGAAAAGTTTACGTGTGCTGAACCGATTTGAAAATACCTTTATAAATCTTATAAATTTGGTTCCGCTGATAAATTTTTGGAAGCGTTTTATGCAGACCTTTTAAGCTTAAACGCTTCTACAATCTGAGGGGATTTTTTTTTTTTAGAAAAAACTAACTTCGTTTATAAAAAACTCGGTTTTTGGATATTTTTTTTTTCAAATAAGTCCAGCTCACTTAATTCTTAATATTTTTCCGAAATATTTCGGCGGAAATTCTAAGATATATTAAATTTTATATTTCCGTTGCAAAAATAGTACCAAATTTTTTTTGTGTATGGAGAGTGATGCACTCCAATGTACATACTTATATACATACATGCATTCTTACAAAAAAATATCTCAAAAAATCAGCACGCAGTTAAAAATTATATGAATAAATTTGTTTATAAAAGATGTAATTTTTTCATGCTTGTTTTATCAAAATGGCATGTCTTTAGAAATTCAAGAAAGAATTTATTTACTTATTTGCATTAGTTCATTGTTTTATTTTTTATTTTTAAATAATTATTCTGTTTTCTTTTTCTTAATTTCTGATTGACAAAAACGAGTTCATTGACTCGATTTTGTGCACCTAAATAATCATTAAGATTTTATGATGTGACAGGCTTTGAATTCTTAAATAAATGCATATTACTTAAAATTACATATGTAAGTCTGGGCGTGCATACATATGAAGGTATGTACATAAAGGAGGTGCAACATTTTTTGCCCAATACTTAGTAAAATTTTAAAAATAAAAATGCGCCATAATTTTATTTTTTGAAGATTTCGGAAGGGAAATATTCTTCTCTCATCACAAAATATAAATTGTTAACGATTCTATAGCAATTTCACGAAAAAAAAAATTGTTCCTCATATGAGCCAGTTGCCTCTAAAATTTTCGTTAAAATATTTTAAACTTTGTATCTTACTACACTAAGTGCTATAGTATTGCAATATTGGGATAAGACCTTTTATCCAAGAAATAAGTACACTTGACTAATAATATTTTCTTTTCTTTTCAGGTTAATAAACAATATTCAGCCACCGATTTGGAGGCTTTTATGAAAATCGCCGTCAATTGGCAGAATAGTAATCACAATTTGTTGGAAGGAGTCGATATAAAAGGAGGTAAGAATTGAATATTCCTATGTTAGGTTGGGTTGTGCGGGCAGCTCTGAAAAATAGTACACTCGTAGACTTGTGATGCCCAGAAAAAGATTTCCCCATGCCAATCTCTACATGTGTTAAAACCATACAGATTTCCTAGCGAATCATAGCAGACCCTCTAGTGGAATTTTCCTCAATCTGTCAGAACTCCCGCAGCAGTGGTCCGCCAGAATTTTGATGCGTTTTCTCTGGTCCCTCATAACCTAACGTTTGGTTTTGAGAGCCTTAGTACACTCCGTTTTCTTTGTTCATCAAACCGTAGCCAAGGTGATACAGCGCAGGTGTGCGGATTAGTCCACCTTCCGTTGCTGCCTGCTCTAGTGAGCTTCTCAACTTGTGAAGATAGAAATAATATCTCAGATCCCTTTCTATCACACTCGTCTAAAGTTATTTAGGTAAAGGGGAGTTGCTGTGAATTTCTTGCAGCGAAGTAGTCAATACACATACATACATGAAGACGGTTATTTCCTCTATCTTATCTGAAGTCCGTTGCAGCTAAGCAACCAAAGTCTCATGTGTGTCTTCGGAGTCTGACCGCTATGTGGGGCGTTAGGGCAATGTTGCGCTTGCCGCTGTGTGTTCTGCGATCTGTTGCGGTCTGAGTCGACGAATGCGGACGTAGAGTTCTGCAAAATACAGAAGGTAGGCGCTTGTTCACTAGAAGGTGCTGTGCAAGTCAGGTGCTTGGTTAAACGGCGTGTTGCACGGTGTGGAGGTCTTTCCACTACAGTCGGGTCTACCGGCACGACCTAGATCTCTATCCGACCAAGAACTGTAGCTGAATTCTTTAAAACTCTTTGGGGAATTTCTATGGTGACCGTGGAGTCCTAAGTCGCCATACAGCATAAGCATTACGGGAATAATACCTTTGTAATCTAAGGCCAGAAAATGTCTTTGGTGGCTGCATCCGTTCTGGAAATTGCTTCTAGTCAAAGTGGAGTTGCTCTGGCATACGCAGCACAAGTTGGTTGTTGGCCGGGGGTTGCATGTCAACCCAAAGCAGAAGCGTGCGGTGTAACTCTGCTGTAAGGTACTTTTCAAGGATATAGTTTGCCGATCTAAACAGAGAGCCATTCTGTTACGTAACACCGGCTGACTTCGATATGTTGCTCTTCATTCTCTTCTCTTAGCCTTTTCTATAAATTTTATAATTTCTAATAAAAATATGTTTCCTATTTCTCTCAACAGAAATGCAGCAATACATGAACAGTCCTGCCATGAATATGTACAAAAAGCGTGAACGCACACAAAACTGGAATCATCAGGAGAAGAAGTTCTTGCTTGACTTGTGTCGCAAGGACATGCGGATTATCGAAAACAAAAGACTCGATGCGGGGTTGACGGCGGTAAAGAATAAAGCCTGGAAGATAATACATCAGAAATTCTCAAGTCAATTTGGTACAGATCGCACCTGTAATCGCTTGAAGGAGCAATGGCGGCGCATGAAAGGTAAATGAGAATTGGATTCTGAAGAAATGTGAGGGTTAATTAGCCTTTTCGGTTTAATGGAATACTTCCACCTAATTTGTTAGATAGTAATTAAAAAAAAATTAAAGCAAACAAACATTTTATTTTAAACTCAAAAAACTACAGTGGATTTTTCGCGCGTAAAGTAGTTTTCGCCTATGGATTTGTCGATTTGTAGCCTAATCTGGCTGCACACTCAAAATAAATAGTATTAGCATTTGTTTTAAATGAAATAAGTTTCGATAAGGTTTTTACGCTCAAATTATAAAACGGCACTTTTTTGACTTCCAGCTTGCACGCGTAACGAAATTTTAGACTATAATAATCGTTTGGCCAGATTTGGTGCAGAGGTCGCTGATCGCAAGAAGCCATCGCCATTCACATTCGAAGTTTGGGAATTCATGCAGGAGGCCAAGAAAGCTTGCAAATCAGAAGCTTTGGATGGAATTGACTACTCAAAGATACCGTTGGCGCTTGAAGAGGATTACGAATATCGCGAAGATGAACAAAATGGCGAGGATGATCACGATATGGATGAGTAAGTGGAGGGTTAATTGAATTTTCGGAAACAGCTTTTAAAAAATAATAATAATTCATAAATAATAAAAAGGGGAGTTGTGCAAAGTTTCCTAAATTTTTTTTATCTTTTTCCGCGGAATCGCTTCGCACTAACGCTTTGTTTTCTCCCTCCCTTTACAGCAGTCGCACCCCACCACAGGAGCTCTGCGATGTCGATATCAAAGAGGAAACCAATGAGACCTTCAACGACACCGTCAACAATCACCATGAATCACTGGCGGCCGGTGAACGCCGTCCCTCCTCCTCTTCGCCGAACCTCAGCCGCCTGGGCGCACACGATCTCGAACGCGCCAGCCTACACAGTCCAGCTGGTAATTTGGCGACGGCCAGTGAACTCACCAACCCCAGCTTTCTCACACAGAACGGTGCTAGTGGCGGTGGTGCAGCGATCGGTGGCAGCGCCGGCGACATGGGCGCCTTCCAGCCTGCCTTCAACATGAGCAACATCTCCGCCACATTGGAAGCGTTGAATGCGTTACGTACCGGGCAATTTCCCTCGGCAGCCGCTGCCGCTGCAGCTGCCTTACAGAATAATTTCGCTGCCGCCGCCGCGCAGCAACATAGCCAACAGCATCAGCAACAACAGCAAATGACAACACCAAGCAGCAACGACCAGCCACTGGTTAAGCGTCCGCGCAGCTCGAGTGGCAGCGGTAATGGCGAAGAGGTGTTGCATGATTTGTCAATGAATGGCGCCGCTGCCGCTGCAATAGCCAACACAGCAACCTCACAGCTGGGCGGCAGTGCGTTGGGTATTGCGCCTAGTAGCACGCCTGAGATGCGCGCCTTCATGGATATGCAGAGCAAAGAGCATTTGATGCGCATGAAAATACTCGAAGTGCAACTGCAAGCGGCCAAATATAGTCGCGATCTTGTCGAGATCAATAAGACATTGGCGCTGCAGAAGCTGCAGGAGTTGGCCAGCAAGCGTCTGACGAGCTAAGTGCGGCGGATGAAAAAGTGCGAGTAGTAGACGCGTGTGGAAGCGGAAGTGGAAGTGGAGGAAGTAGTATTTATGAGAGTTGCTTGCATGGAAGCGCTGCTGGCGTGCTTTTCGGCGTTGGGAATGGGATGTAAGCGGAAAAAGGCAGCAACGTGGCGCGGAGATAAGCGCTTCAAGTGGCAACCGCTCGTGTTTTCGTTACATACCTACATACATACATATGTAGCTACATATTACTTTTTATTTATCAAACGTTTGAAGAATTATTATAGTTTTGTTTGCTCTTTTTTTTGAATAGAAACAACATTCCTGTTAGCGTCAGTTCAATACAAACCTAATTTACTGTTATTAGAAATAGTTGCTCTTCTTTTCATTGTTACTGTGTTTGAAGTCACAAATTTTAAAGAATACAAAGAAATATGGAATATGAAGTTAATAAATAAAAAAAAAAGTAATTTTACTTAATTTTTGAAATAATTTTCGCCAAGACAGTATTTACAAAGTAGTTATAACAGAGTGATAGAAAATGTATTAAAAAATAAAACAATCCTTTAGGTATGCAATAGTTAACACAATAGCCCTACCTCAGTGGTCACAACCATGTTGCATAGTAAGAAATATAAACAGTTGAAATTAGCTAACAAACTTTAAAAACAAACTTGTTATTGGTTAAAAATAAATTCAGTTTGGTAACATCGTTTCGGAATGTACAAAAAGTTCGCCCTATATATGTATACTACATACATGCATACATAGGTATGCACATACCTTTGTATGTTGCTTATTTTTAGTGTGCTTATCTAATTAAACCTCAATTTTGCAACCAAGCAATGCTTGATTTTTAAACGCTGATAGGCTCCACAGAATTGCTTTAATTTTAACTTAGTAGTAAGCTAGTTGAATTCGGAGTGTGGGCGGCAAACAGCTGCGCTTAGATAGCTTAAGCTCGCAAGCCATTAACGGCAACCCGAAAGCCGTTCTTTGTAAATTAAATTATGAGAAAAGCACGACGAAGTTCCAAAATTTTGGGCCAATTTTATGGGCCATTGAAACAAAAAGAAAATATTCTAAATACACTCAACATTTCTGGGGTGCCAAAAACTCAAAAATTGTGTAACCTTGATTTTTTTTTTTTGGAAATATAAAAACGGTGTTGAATAAAAATTACAACAATTTGTTCTCCGATTAATCTAGTTCACGTTAACTATATATGTATATGGAAAGCAACAGTCTGTTCTGGAAGAACAATATTATAAAAATTAATAGAATAAAAATCAACACTAAGAGTAATAAATGTGTAAAATTGAAATATTTTTGTACTTATAACACTTGTGTAGCAATACATGTACATATATTAAATTCATAGTGTAAAGAAATGTTGCATAAACAATAAAATGAAATACAAAAAAAAAAAAAAAAATTCCACATAAACAGTGAAAATGCAACTTTTATATACAATTGTTACAAAGCGCAAATCACAAAATGAAGATAACTTTGAAAATAAGCAAATATATAGTTATTTTGTATATGTAAAAGTGAATTAATTACTTAATTTTATTGAAAGTAAATATTTTAAACAAATAAGCACTTAAAAGGCGCAAAAGTATTCACTGGAGTATTGTAGTATCTTTTCTTTATTAAATTTAAGTTTAAGTAATATTGCAAACTTAAGGTTAACCTCTCTGAAAATGAAGAAGAACAAAACTTTTACTTTAATCCATAAGAAAATTAAATTATTAGAAGTATGTATTAAAGCGTGAAGCTTTCAATAATTCTTTTAATACATATTAGGCGTGTTTTTTTCACACGCATACGTATCTGCGCTTAAAATTTATATTACCGATGCTTGTTTGTTTTACACATTGAGCGCAGATGTATGTATATGCGTCTAAAAAAACACGCCCATTATACACTTATGTTTTTTAATGTTTGCTTTGGTTATTAGTTTTGTACTATTATTTGTATTATTTATTTTTACTAACTTTATGTTTCGATATTTTTTTTTGTTTAATATTGAATTTTTCTGGTTTCTCAAATTTCTGTGAAAACGTATTATTTTTAAATTTAGTTAAAGCTCGTTTTGCCATAGAAACAGAAAAAACGCATATATTTTGCTTTTAATTTGTTTAGAGGAGTTGGAAAATTACTTAAATAAAATCACTTGAAATACTTAAAAAAAAAAATTGTGTTGAAACAATACCCACTTCACAGTGTGCAGTAGACTGTAAATAAATGTACACATACATAAATAAATAGTGAAAACTCGTTACAATAATACACACTTGCAAATAAGTGAAGTACTATGTGTGAGTAAGTAAAAACATTAGTGCGGAGTGTAGTATTTGCGAGTTGCACCCATTGCATTAATTGTTTGATTACTATATAAGTATATAAGTATTTTTGAACAAAAATTAGTTATACAGCTATGCTATTATACATACATATATCACAAATAAAATCAAATTTTATCAATTTGAAATTAACTACAAAAAGAGTGTATATTTACCTTATATGGTTATGTTAGGTTATGTCGGGTTTTAGTACACATTAGTTGCGTTCCCTAACTCGCAAGAAGTTGCAAAGTAGGGGAAAATGCGGGAGTAAAATCGAGCCTCTCTTTGTCAGAAGTTGCAAGATTTTACCTGAAGAATTTTTGTGGTAAAATCTGGTAGAGTCAAACCATCAGCTGTTCAAATGATTTGAAAGTGAGTAAGCAAAAAAAAGTGTATCTGCATTCCTTTCACCTTCTTTAATATATCGCAGCGAAGAAATATCAAGCATTTAGCAGATCTGAAAATGATAAAGAAATGATATGTAAACAAATAATGGCGCCCACGGTGTACTTTTACAGTTTTACCAGTTTTTACCCGAAAAGCGTTCCCGTACTTTTTGGCTTTTCTCTTTTTCTGAGAGCAATTTTTCTTTTTGACAGTTTTACAGGTTTCATCCAGAAAAGTTGAGGAACGAAACTATGAAAAATATCGAAGAGAATACTCCGTGCTCCTCAAACTATCGCTGGAAATTACTCCATTCCACTTATACTCAAAAGTATTCAGAGGTTGCCGAGATAGGCCGATCTTCCACTCAGGTATCGATATCTTCGTGCATACATATCGTCACCTTAATTCACAAAGGCCCTAACCAACAGTTTTTATTCTATTTTACAGAAAAAAAAGTTATGCGGTAACATACATAAAAAAAAATATTCCGACGAATTGATAACCTCCTTTTTTTTGCAGTCGGTTTAAAACAGGTAGGGCCAAGGCACATTGAAGACATAGTATTAGTCATGATAAAAATATAGTAAGGTAGAACCGCTGAGAGTCACTTTTAAAATTCTTGACGTTTGCAAACAATTTAATTTTTAAATTTACTCACAACTCACACACACATTTTCATTTTCAATCTCAAGCAACAACAATTTCGAACAATTTAAATTTTTTATTTTCACTTTTATATGATTTTAAAATGTTGGCAAACTTCAAAAAAAAAAAACATGGCCGACAAATTGAGAGAACGGTTCTACCCCCGCAAACATATTCTGAGCGTTCAGAATATATGAGTCCGAAAGGTGTCCTAGGTAGGTAAGAAATATGAGTTTCAAAAACAAAAAATTGTTTACTCTTATATGAATCTTTTAGGATTCATATATGAGCCAAGTTATGAGCCAGCACCTTGTGCCAATATAAAAAACAATAAAGATTTGAAATTTATATCTAAACTTGTTTATACAGAAATTGAAAATAATTAGAAAACAAAAAATGAACAAAATTTAGCTTCAGCTGCTGCTATTGAATGCATGTTGGAATGTGTATATGCATGTAAGTATGTATGTATGTTATTTGCAAGGACTTTTTGCGGAATGCCTTTGCAAATATAGTGAGTTGAATAAGACTCAAAGAGCAAACTAAAATAAGAGTCCGAATGTAGCAATTTATGAGGCCGATAAGGGTCTCAAAAAGAGTCATATGTGAGGCCAAAACTTGTTTTAAAAGAGTCCAAAATGAGCCGTATATGAGGCCAATAAGAGTCCAATATGACTCATATTGAGGCTCATTTGATGTATGAATTTAAGCTCATATAAGTCGACATTCGTAGGAAGGGAAACACACTCATATCGGACTCTTAAATGAGCTCATTATGAGCGTAATAGCTCCGAAATAGGACTCCTTAAAGACTCATTTATGACTCCAAATGTTTGCTGGGACCAAGGTACATTGAACAGGTAGTATCAGTAGAGCAGCTGATTTGATTTATTTTCAAATTATTTGGTCTCGAAAATGTCAAATATTTTTAATTTTTTCTCACAAAAATTCTGAATTGTTAAAATCCATTTGCATGTGAAACCTTTTTCCATACAAAACAAGGGATTGAATAGCAGCTTTTGGAACGTTCGCCCAACTCAGCAGCACAACCGCTGATTACTGGCCCTTGTAAAGGATGGATCAATGCTTCGAGAAGCAAACAAATTTACTAGGAAAGAAAGTTGCAACAATTTTTATTTTTTCCAATTTCAATTTTTTATTTTTTATAATTTTTTGTATTTCACATGGCACGCTTTAATTTAGAAGAAAAAATTCAGAACAGTTTTTGACACTTTCGATACCAGAAGCAACAACAAAATACACGCAAATGTTGTTTTTGCTCTACTGATACTACCTGTTTAATGTGCCTTGGCTGGGACCTTGCTATGTTTTTATCATGGTATTAGTAGCGCAGCTTATTTTTTTTTCAAATTATTTGGTCTCGAAAATGTCAAATATTTGAAATTTTTTCTCACAAAAATTCTAAGAGCGTGTGTGAATCGGTAACAAAGTTCGCGGCGAGTAAATTTTTGACAACTATGAGGTGAATAAAATTTCAGTAGCTTATGAGGCTAGTGAAATTTTTGACAAATGAATAGAAAATTTTTACAATCGCAAAGATTGTTTATGTGTGTAATTTTTCGTTAAATAAAAGCTTAAATTGATGAACTGCAATCAACGATGGTAGACGTTTTCTTAATATATTGATTTTACTTCAATTCGGAATATTTTATGCCACATAAATCTGCGGTTATCAAAAATGTACTGCTGTCAAAAAAGATTTAATTTCACACAGCAGATTGGCAAAACCGTCTCACCATAGTAAAAATATTATTCAACAGCTTTCCCCATAGAACTTTGTTACCGATTCACACACGCACTAAGGGCCGATTACTCAATGTCTGGTTAACGCTAATCTCCCGTTAAATATAGTTATCGACGTTACCGACTCGTTGTTTTTAATTAAAAATAAAAATCAGTTGCGGTATAAGGCGGAATAAAATTTTTAAAATTTCCAGCGCTTCTTTTTGTGAGACAAAAATGGTTTGTTGCCTGCGGCGTGACCAAGAAAAGCCTTCTAAAATATCCGTATGTATGTTCTCAACATTTTGCTATCACGGATATTAGCATTAGCCAGTACCAGACCACACTACCCAGAAGACAGTGCCGAAAGGTAATGAAAAACTGTGTTGGTCAAAACATAGAAAAGGAATGGATTTTTCTCACTTTACTGCCTTTAAATTAATGATGTTTTGATGGGTTTGTTGAATTTATTAAATCAAAACATTTAATAATGTTAACGCAGCATAGTACATACATACAGATCAATTTTCAGTTTTGTGGTAGTGGTGAGAAATTCCATAAAAGTAAGTACATATGCCATTATCCGTTGTTTTTCGCAGTAAAATTGCAATCTTTTTATGGACATATTTGCAATACATATGTACTATATCTACGGTGACCAGATTTCTGTGGCCAAAAATCCCGACATTTGTAAAGCATCGAATTCGAACATTCAATTTTTTTTTTAGAATAAGTTTTATTTAAAACAAAACAAGAAGAAAAAATGGAAAATAATTATTATTTTTTTATGAAAATATAACTTACTGTCTAAATAAACATGTAAATCAAAATCTTAAAATTTATAGATCATTTATAAAAATTCGACGAATTTGAAATCAAAAAATTAAATTTTGTCAGTTTTTGACACTTTTGATACCAGAAGCATCAACAAAATAAACGCAAATGTTGTTTTCGCTCTTATGCTACTACCTGTGGTGGTAGGACTTTTTAAAAAGTGGCATGAAACTCCGTTGTTTTTGGTACTAACACTTTAGAATTTTTATTAAAGATGTACTTTAGGTGTCTCCTACCAAAATCTGTGAAAAACGCAGTTTCGAAAAAAGTGTTGGTTCGGGCCTTTTTGAATTAAGGTAACGATATATACATGGCGTATGAGTTACTCAGACAAGATGAGAATGTTACTCATACGCCATGTACATCCTGTTTTAACATTTTCATGATATAGACAGCTCCAATAAGGATCCACCATTTTGAATTTCTAGAATGCCATATGCAGCTGCTTCTATTCAAGCACGCATTTACATCTGCATTAGCGTAATTCCATGCAAACGTAGAAAACGACAAAAAAAACATTTTAAAACGCCTTACTTATTCCTATTTCAGCAGAAACCTATGGGTACATATCGAGGGCTTATACAAGAGAAATTACTGATTTCTTGCATTTTCAACTTTTCGCTGTCAATATTATTGAAAAGCAATTTCATTTTTTTCTAAAGCCAATACAACCGTGTGCGCGATTGCACTTCCAACCAGCTCTATTCCTCAACGTAGATTTTTAATTACCGTTTTCGCGAGTTCCTACACACCCAATAAACAGAATATTATTTTCAAAAATTTGTTTGTATCTCGCTTTAAGATTTCCCGATGTATTAAAGTATGGAACTAAATTTATGTAATATTTTCCAAATCGTTGTGCAAATTCTTCCTTGATTACTGCTTTCCTTCATATTTAATCATCGTAAGTCAGTTCCGCGCCACATTAAATGTGCACCACTTTAATCAATTTTTAGGATCCTTCTTCTTGCCCTTAAGTTTGTTTGTCACTTCACTAGACTTTTCCAGGGCTTTGATACTAGCATCGAGCTTACTTTCTATTTCCAACATGCTTTTACGTAACGCTCGAAGCTTTTCTCTTGTCTAACAATATTTAAAAAGGGATTAATAGAAATTGAACGTGAAATTCTGCGTATGTACATACATTTGTACCTATGGTCCTCTGCAATAACGAAACAACTCAAATTATAAAAAAAATTTAGTAGAGAAAATAAAGTTCGCGTTTTTTGGAACGTAATGACGCAATTCGTATTGGTAAAAAAGTAAACAAATGTCGATTATCCACAGAAAAATATGGTTATTTTTTCAAGCTAATCCGTTATATGTACATATGTATATTTTAATTATACATACATATGAAATTTCGAGTTATGTGGTTATTGCAGAGGACCATTGATATGTACATACATATGGATTTGTACCTCCTTCATGTGGTAGATATCTTCTTCCGCTTTTTCTTTATCCCAAAAGTCGACTTGACGTCTGATGATTATGAAAATTTGTTAAATAGAAAGATATAAGTATTTATTGGACATTGAATACAACTTACTTTATGGTTTTTAATATGCCAATTCTGCCCCTCAATTTCAAGACTCTACCACACTGGGCATGAAGCATAATTTATGGAAAGTTTGGTTTTTTCTCAATTTTGCCAAATTAAAAAGAAATTATTTAGGAAGTTAGTAGACACTTTTATCGATATTTGTACAGAAATTTCTATTGTTGATGTTTATTAAAAAAAAAAACATCAAAATTTTGATGTGAGCTGAAGAGTTTCCAGCAATTATTAAAATTTATAGGCATGTTTTTACGCTTAAACGTTTCAAAAGTGCCAAGTAAAAGCTTTTTAAGTGAGTGAACTAGTATGTAAAGCACCAGAAATTAATTTAACAAAAATAAACCTTAACTCAATTATTTGAACTTACTTCATCGATATACATATGTATATACACATACATATATGCATGCACATGTTCCCGAGATGGTGATTTCCAAAACTCAAGTCAACTGACCTTATCAGCATACAAAATAAAGAAAAACATTTCACAGCTTGATGGTGATTCCCACCACATAGAGATAGAGATGCCAGGGCACAGTATAAAAGCTTGCTAAAACGCTATCAGTTAAAACAAACGCTTCCCAGCTTTAAAATAGCACACAAGCTCGTAAAAAACGCGTTAAAAACCAATAAATATTTTTTTATTATATTCAAAATTACACAAAAATTATAAAAATGAAAGTTGTTGCGCTTTTTGGTATACTGCTGATAATTGCTGCCATCATCTTGAATGGCGCCACAGCTTCACGCGACGCACGCCCCGTGCGTCCAAGTATTAGCGCGCCTCCACCGAGAAGGGAGCGACCTATTATTTACGATGCACCAATAAGGACAGGAAAACCGAAGACAATGTACGCTTAGTGACAAAATAGAATAGTTGCAATTCAAAAGATTAAAAATAAATAAAACGGACTTGATTCCTAAATTAACCCAAACATAAATTTATTTTTCGTTATTTTATTTATTCATGAATTTATAATACGTACATGTATTTCATTTAAAACTTTCACATTCTATTAATATAAAAGTGTAGATAGATTAACAAAAAATAACCAAATACTTGAAAAAATGCAAAATATTAATTTTTATCAAATCTTAGAATAATTCTGAAAAGCCTTTTACAGCATTTATAACGCTGTGTCATCTTGTTGCTATCATTGAATGACCCGCTCAACCTTTGCAAGTTGGGTTTGTCTGCTTTACTTCTTAATGTTTGCAAGGAATTCCTTATGACGTTGGATGGCTTTTTCATGCTCTTTGATTTGCTGAGCATGGAATTCAGCTTGGTGGATTTGATCGTTCTTCAAGAGTTTGAGTTGTTCTCTTTGCTGCAAATGTTAAGATTTCACAAATTAGTCTACATGAACGCTATTTTTAGCAAGTTTATTTGTATGTATGTATGTATGTATATAAGTTCAACGTTTCATGTATGTGATTTCTAGCACATAAGTCTATACAAATTGGCAACAAACAGATTACGTCACGGCCAGCTATGTTTTGGTAAAACAAAGACAAGCCTCTTGCCGTCCAACATATGTATATAGATGCGCATACATACATACATACAATACTTGAACCAATACAATTTGCATATTTACGATGCATATAAATTTGCAGGAGTTAAAAGGGCAATCATTGGCCAGATAGTAAATCAATGCATTTACCTTGTTATAAAAGTATTCTTCTTCATGCGCTGCCTCCAATTTACCAAAAGCACCGCCAGCTTCGCGAATGGATCCACCACCGCCGCCACCCTTGCCGGCGCCACTGCCTAAATCACCAACTTGGCTGTCACTCATCTTAGCCAATCTGAAATTTGAAAACAAAAACTTACAAAATAATAAACTGGTGAGCAATAAAAACGCATATGCGCTACAAATATTACATAACCACTAACGATAATTTAAGAACTTTGCCGAACTTTCGAATTCGTACGCTATTTGGGTTTTACTTTTCTCGATATTAAAACAAAAATTAAATACATAGTAAGTAAAGGTGGTATCCTGCGTCATTTTTTAATACGCATGCAAAAGGAAAATCTAAAAATATGCCGGTCCCTTTGTGTGATTTCGGAGACGTGATGACTGTGCAATACTTACTGCATTCCCTTGGGATAAATGCACGCTGCGCTGCGACGTACTACGAACATCTTGTTTTTGTTTGAAAAGGAATCTGGTTTTTAAACTCTAAAAATATAAGAAAATTAAAAATATTTATTAGGTAGTCATATGATTAGGAATACTTAGAAATCATGGGAAATGTAGTCTTCCTTTCTATGAAGGCATTTTACTTTGATTAAGGGTTATACATATTTATATATCCCATACGTAGCTAATTGCATTTACTTATTATTAATTATAATTTACTTTACATATCTTATTGGCAAAAAATTTTTCACAAAAACTTACCACTTATCAACTCTGCAGTAAAAAATTGAATGTCAAATTTTTGATCGCGGAGTTCTAGGAAATTGGGGCTGGAACTAGGGCTGCCACTAGAAAAAATTCTTAGCATTGGCTTCAAAAAAGTATACCAATTCTGGAAAGTAACTATCAATTACTATTTTAGTTGTTTTCATAAAAACTATGGTTTTGTTCTATTATTTTAGTTATTTCAGTAAAAATTTAACTTATTATTGTATAAGAAAATTGTATGAACTTTAACCAAACGCATACAAATCAAGGACTCTTGGACAAAATTTCCAAAATTTGCCGTCTAAATTTTGAAATTTTTACTCTCAATTTTAGTATAACCAACAACGTGCAGCTGAAATGTTTTGTTGATTTTTTTTTAATGTTTTGCCGCCGGTCCTTTGGTTTTTTTTTTTTAATTTAATAATTGTAACTTATAAAAACTGCGTTGAATTTTTTGAATTTTCCTGCTATCAATCATAATGTGTAATTACTTCCCTGCCAATTTTTCCTTTTTTAAGTAATTATTTAAATAATTTAGGCAGGCATATGCCCCGCAGGAATGTAGCTTCACCTTTGGAAAGAAATGGAAACACAAAGATATTTAACTACGAAAAATAAAGCGGGAACGAAAAGTTTTATTTGTTTTTGAAATAAAATACTTTAACCAAAATCTACCAAAATGAAAAAAATGTACTTTTTTATGAACCCAATTTTTTCTGCCAATTTTGGTATTAATTTATGGGGTCGGCAGCCATGGCTGGAACGCTGGATTCCAGGCAGATGTTATTCTTGTCACTGCCGGTAGAGGTCGCAGGTATTGTGGCAGAGTTGCATATTTCCTAAATTTTATTTTCAGGGGATTTATCTGAATGCGTAAATACTTCGTAACTGTGTAAACGTCATAAATAAGCCGGTTTTCCATACAAAATTTAGTAAATTTACGATGTTTACGTTGTTGTGAGGCATATCCGCGTTTATATGTATTGCCCTATTATAAAAAAACTTAAACACATTGCGCGTCTCCATAGGCAAAAGTTTTTGGATGGGCATGTTTTTGTAGATGAAAGTATTTGTAAGATGGTTATTTTTTCCGGCTTTAATCATTTAAAAAATTTAGAAAATATGCTACTTCACATCCAAGTACATAATAACAAATATTTTAATAGAAAATAGTTACATTTTTGCTTCTATAATAAAATATCAATAATTTTGGCGCCACGAAGTTATCGCGCAAATGAAAATGTAGCTGTCAAACTACCAAATTGCTGGCAGTAATTATAGAGATAAAAGCTCAGATAATTATTGCTTGCCAAGAGCAATATGCCGTCTCCATTGGCAAAATTTTGCCTTATAACAGTATCAAGACAAAACATGTACCTGTTTTTGCCTGTGAAGACCACAAATTACCTTCTTTGTCTTTACATTCTTTTCTGCTTTACAGGCTAACCTAATATTCACGCACGCCGCCAATTTATTGTCAAAAATTCCTCATGCACATGCAACTTGTATGAGATCAACCGAAATTGAATGGCGTGCGTATGAAGCTAACTCAATTTCCAATTTTTGTGTTGCGTGACATTTTGATTTGACGTTTCGCTCAATGAAATCAAATGCAAACGCATGCAAGTCAATTTCGGGTGACGCAAAAAAACAAATTCGACGGCATGCGTACCAAAACGCAAGCCGCGAATATTAGGTTAGCCTGTTAATCCGCAAGTGATTTTGATGAATCTGGCGAAGCAAAATAAAGTTCTTATAAAAGACTAGAAATATCAAAATTTTGCATACAAAACTATTTGGCAACATCATAAATGAAGCGGCAACTCTGCCGTAAAGAACAAGAAAACAATTGATGAAGAAGCATATTGGTTGTCAAATTTTTGCAGAAAGCCGATTTGGCTGATGCTGGTGGAAAATAGTGATTTTTCTTCATTTTATAATATTTTATTCATTTTATTTTGCCCTAGAAACCAGTACATAGTGTATTAGAAGCTGAATTTCTTCAGTTAAATGTAAAATGGTGGAAACTGACGATGCAGCGGAGCTTCTTTTCTTTGACACCTTTTCACATGAAGTGGACACGGTAAGCGGTGATTATTTGCATGTTTTTTTTCGTTTCGTTTTCACCATTTAATCTTCAACTGATATTAACCATTCGTTTTTCCAGGACATCAATCTCGATCTTGTGCAGTTTCCAAAGCCAGTGTATATCACTCAAGTGCGCATAATACCATTGGGAGCACGCGTGCAAGCCGACTTTCCCGGCGGTGTGCGCCTCGGTGCCACCAATCCCTCAAAATTTGATATTGAATTTTTCGTCAATGATTTGGGCATGCCGGGTGCCTCCACATTTGAAAATTTAGGTCAATTAAAGTATAATCAAAACGATTGCATTCATCTAGAATGTACACAAGAGAAAATACCCACTGATGGTTTGGTATTACGTGGCTGGTATAGCACAATTACTTTGGCAGTGTATGGTATACTAACCAATTCGATGACTGAACCAATTGCAAGCCCACCACCGCTACCTTGCGAACCAGCTGGTCCTGAAGAGATTTGCAATTTAAGTGGCAGTGGTGAAACGCGTGAACCAAGCTTGCTGGAGGAGACAAGCAAAGACGAATGGAAGGAACCTTTACCGAGTGAGGTGCCATCTGTACATAAAGCGAATCTTAGCGATTTTGAGCGGGATGAGTTGGAGTATGCCGGTGGGCGGAATGACCACTACCAACAATCCGGAGATGAACGTGAACGTGGCATGCGAAAGACTTCGCATTCTTCGGAGCGCTCTTTACCTTCGCGTAATCGCACCCACTCGGAGAGTAATGAAAGAGAATATTTGCGGTAGGTTAGAGAATAGTCAAACATTTTTTGAGATATCAAATCAATGGACGGGAAACTAAACCCACATAACCTAAGGTTATTTCTGCAAGATTGAGAGACTTCCAAAAAAGGAGGAGGAATATTATTATTTTTTTTTTGCATCCGAAAAATAGTGTCTCAGAGGTGGTCCCAAACTTAGATCATGAAATATAAGTCGGGTTTGTTGTTTGCTTAAATATTACTTGTTATTTCTCTTTCGCTTCATGGTTATATCATATTAACTATTTTTTTCTTATTTCGTGAACATATCGCACACCTATATCTAAAGTGGGCTAATTCAGATTCGACGCAATCAATACAAAAACGGGTATAATTTAGTTAGTGTATATAATCATAAAGAAAAGATTTGGATTAATTGGGGTTAAGTCCTATGCCTTAATTTATGGAAAAATTAGTCTTAATTATTTTTTTTTCGAGTTGACCGCTGTTTAGATTTAGGTGTGAGATATGTACGTATGTAAGTACTCGCGTACTTATTTTCATTTATTTAAAACTTTTCCTATTTTATCTGTCTTTGTTATAAAATGCACACTGTGTTTAATGTACATATCGCGCACGACCTTCAAAGGTGACAGAACTCAAAATTACCTACACGTTTGTCAGATAATGCGAAAAACTATTTCTGAGCACATGATAATCTTGAGGGCAAGGAAGACTTTACTTTAGGGTTTTTAACAAACTATAACAAAAATTTGCTACAACTTTTGCTGAAAGGTAAATAAAAGCTCTGTGTACATTTTTAACGCATAATTTGAAAAATGCCTAATTTTTAATTATGCCCCTTTGAAGATCATGTTGGAGATATCATTTTCACGAACACGCTGTAGTTCAGATATTTGTTAAACGGTTGTAAAGTAGTACCGTACTAACGGTACACTGCATCCTTGCAAGAGCACACATTTTTCTTGTTAACGTACATGTTTACTGCCAACCCGTTTATTGATTTGAAAATTTGCTTTTACTCGATTGGTCTTGCGACCTTACCATCTTGGAGAAATTTCTAGAATAAACTTTTTTAATAAAACCCAATTAAAATTCACATTACTATTTTTCGATTTTTAGCTCACGTGGTGAACGTGATCGTGAGAAAATCTCGCGGGACTGGTCACGCAGCCCTGATTACTCGCATCGTTCGCGTCGCAAACGTTCGGAGCGTTCACGTTCAGACGCCGAGGAGTCACATAAATGGCCGCCACGCACGCCACCTGTATCGATCGACTCGCCAACACGTCCTCGGTCTCCTGACAATATGGAGTATTCGGAAGACGATGTGCATTATAAACTTAAAAAGCGTAGTTACATGCGTTCCGATGAGTCTTTGACTAACGGTGCACCGGATACACAAACTATAGACGATGACGAAACCCCCGGCACGCCTGGTGAACAATATGAACCCATACTCAGCGATGATGAGATTATTGGCGATGACGATTCCAATGCTGCAATTGAACAAACCTTGGGCAACGAGCTCGAAGCAGACATGGTAGCGGCAGCTGCTGCGGCTGGTCCCGCCATAATCGAATTCGATCCATTTACTATGCCAATTTGTCGTTATAATAGCGAAATGCAAGCATTGTATCGTAAGGACCTGGAAACGTTGGCAGCTATTATGCGAAAATATGAACTGCAAACGAAATGTACCAGCCTAGAGGCTTTCAATGATGCGGCCACTACCGTTGAAGAGCGTGAGAATTTTGTCTATTTGAGCGAGCAGCTTATCAATCAGTTATCTTACATATCGCAACAATTCAAGCGGCGCAATTTTGTGCTTCAACAATTTTATAAAAGCGAACCGGGTCACTTGGCAAAATCATTTAACATACTGAAAATTGCTTTAGAATTCGAGTCGGCTTGTCTGCAACAGCAGCCAGCTTTCAAAATACGTCATATAAAAGTAGGCGCTCGCCTCGCCGAACTTTTAGCCTCAGCTCCACAATTTATGGACTACCTATTGAACACACAAAAATTCGATCCTTTCACAGCTCTCTTCAAACTGTACAAAGAAAACTATATGGCGGTATCGATCAAGCTTATGCTGCTCAAGGCAGTTTACGCCTTGCTAGATACCAAAGAAGGCATACGTTACTTCCTTGTAGGCGGCGAAACAAACGGCTATCAGTTGCTGCTGAATATTTTGCAGCAGTCGCATTTGACTCGCACCAAATTCGCATTGCAATCGATTGTAAAGAAGTTGCACTTGAACGAGGCGCTGGAATGTGTGCGGGAAAGCTGCAGCAAATTATTCATACTGACCAATTATACTACTGGCACAGCACCTGAACAGTATGCTGCCATCGAGCAATCTATCGAGCAAATTATGGATTCTTTAGTGGACAATTCGTTGTCCTATCAGCAACCGAAACGATTTCTACCAGTCTCAAAGAAGTTCGAAATTGCTGTGGATACCGCAGCACAACGCGGCTTCGCCAATGCACTACAGTCCTACTTTGTGCAACATACGCTAGGTGAATCCCTGCTTCTGCTGCTGATCAATGCCAATGAGGTGCCATCGTCGTTGCTATTGCGTGTCCTAGATTTGTTACAAACTTTGTTGCAGACGCATGTGGGTGTGGATTATTTTGTAGATGATTGTTTTGAAACGACGCAGTTGTTGGTAGCTGCACTGCTGGGCATAGAGGAAGTGCCCGAAGATGTGACGCCTACAGAGGAACAGGACTACAAATGTGAGTGCAAGTGAATTGCTAAAGAATTTGGAAATTAAGTAAATTTTTGAGGACTTTGCAATATTAAAAGATTTTTTTTTCTTATAGTGAATGTGAAAGTTGCTGACGATACGTCCGCCCAACCCAAAATAGAAGCTGAGAGTTTAGAAAATGCTGTTAAGAAGACTGAAAGCGAAACCACAGCCGACACTACCATAGACGCTCAGCCGAAAGCTAAAGAATCAAAAGAGGATGAAAAAGAGTTGCAGAACTCTGAACACTCAAAGGAATCCACACCAGCAAGCACTGAAGCAAAAGCACAACCGCTTCGGAAACCCTTACTGGATCGCCTACAACAACTCGGCTCTGAGCTGGCGCACAAAGTGCAGACACGCTACCATTTGGATGCTATTATGCATCTGACACGCGCCGAAAACTATGACATCATCCGGCTTGCTACACATTTGCACGCACTGTACTCACAGACCTGTAACACAGCTGGACGACAACATACGGTCGAAGTGATAGGCATGAACAACAATATGCAGTTCTTAATGGATCTCATACAGAAGGAACAGCATTTACAAGCGCAACGACAAGTCGCCTCACCGGGTGCCAAATACAAAAGTCCTGTGCTTAGTTATGCTGTGGACATGGTGGATTGCTGCGTGCGCCACTGCGAGCAGTTGGACTATCTGATTGAGCACGGCGCCAGCATACTCGAATTGGCAAAGAATCATGAAAATTTTGAGCCTTCAGTATCGGCTGTGTTGCAAGAGATGTTTGTATACTTGAAACCTTTGGAATCCTTAAATATTTTCGCATACGACAACATTACACCACTAGTTGAGGTAATAACGCGTTCGCTGGAGTATATAACCACCTTTCCTGGCGATTTGATTATGGGTTTGCGTATCTTGCGTCACCTAGCCATTGGCCCCACCTGCAAAGCATTCCGCAGTTCCAATACAGAGCAGCTGAAATATAGATTTGTGACGCTGCAGTTCTATGCCGCTGATGGTGTGCAAACTATTGTGCAAATACTTGAGAAATTATGTTCATATTTTGAACAACCGGGCCTACACACACCGGCTCTGGTGACTCTGCAGGGCCTACATTGCTGTCAGATAATATTACCGGCTTTGCAAGTGCTGCGCGCTATGCTTTCTTATGCAATACAATGTCGAGATGTGGAATTTAAGGACTTGACTGCCATCGATCATCTAATGAAAGCATATTTCCTGTTGCATTATTTTCCGTCTTCCAGTCATGCGGCGCTTGAAATAGCACAAGCCAAGCAGGAAATCATACAGATATTGCTGGCATATACGCAGCCCAACGAACAGGACGAGGAATCGCTGCATAAATCATTGTGGACGCAAATGATTAGAGAAATATTAAAGAACATTGACGGTCCGGCTACATTCATACCAGGTAAATATCCACAATTTGCTCACAATTTGATACATTTAACTCATTCACTTTATCTCTTGCAGGCTTGCATGTGCTCGCCGAATTGCTGCCGCTACCATTACCCATACCATTGCCCGCCGATTCGCAGCTACCCGAAACTCAAACTCAGCGCTTGATTACCGAGCGGAAGCTTTGGTCAGCACATTTGCATCCGCAGAGCGCACAAATCGCCAAACTTATTGAAACCATTGCACCTTCCACTTTTCCGCCTCTGGTGGATCTAATGACAAAAGTGTGCCTACAACTTGCTGACTTGGCTCCCAACATGACGCTACTCATTTCAAAAACTCTTAGCGATTTATTGTGCGCCGAATGGCATTCAGCTTCTGCCACGCCCAGTGCACAATTAGCGCGCTTGTTGAACTTCTTCGCGCGTTTAACGCCTTTCGCCGCTTTGAAGATTTCCGCGATGTCCATACTCAGCGGGAAGTTGTGGGAACTCTTCCAATTGGTGCTCTGTTATGCTGGGCCTGCGTCAGAGGTTGTGCAAAAGTGCCAATTGGCCATACAGCATATTTTAAAGAATTTTATAGACGCGGGAATATCGTTCGTTTCACCAAAATCCACAGCAACGCCAGAATTGAATTTGGCCGCTGCATTGCCGGCGAAGGAGTTGTTGCCGCGCATTGTTGAAGCTATACTAACAAACCTGTTCAATAGTGATGCACAGCAGGAGATGTGCGAGTTGGCGTTGAATAACTTGAACCTTTTAACAGAACTTGAGTATGTATATATATTTGAGAATCTGTATTATTTATTTACCCTTTTTGATTGTATTATCTCTCCAGCATAACGCTATTTCATTTGACGCAGCAGCTCAAACAGAGACGTGCTGAATTCCAACAATGGCTCGAAAAGTTCCTTAATTACGCTGAATCAGAGCGGGCGCGCTTACCCTCCATTGAGTTTCTTATAGCTTTTCTACACTCGCTGACGCATATTGCTGAATACTTGCAGCAACAGCAAGCTATACCCATACGTACCATTAAATGGAGTGCCTCGCAGCTGTCTAACTTGCTAGGTTTTCAAAAGAACGCGAAGCCCCATCTAATTCAACGCTTGAGTGCCGCGCACACAAAATGTAAGGAAAAAGCGCCCACACAAATTAAGGTAGAGGATGACAGTACTTCCGCTAATAAATTGTTGCCTGATGTTACCACACTGTTGGAATCCATTGATAGCGCTGCGTCAGCCGAAAATGATGAAGAAGCTGCGAATGTTGCGGAACCAACACTTCCGCAAAGTGAGGGCATTGTCATGCAATTTGTTGCACGCCCCATTTTCGTTGAATTTTACGATTCAGCGGATGAAACGCAGCTGCAGGCGCGCTACTGGTTGCAAGCTGCCTGTGTAGACTACGATGAATGCAAGTACGAACGCGTCGCTTGCGACTTAACCGAGTTGGCTGCAGAATGCTTGTCCCCCGAGACGAATCTCACATCAGATTGCAAGCGCGTTCTACATTTGTCTGCTTCACCGCAATCGAATCGCGAGCGCACGCCCACAGCGCCATGCTTCCGCACGCGCCGTGTTGAGGTGGAGCCGAGCACTGGACGACCAGAAAAGAAAATCTATATCACGCCCGTGCGCGGTCGTGGTTTTGCGCGCGCGCCCCCGTCACGCGGTGATCTCTTCCGCTCACGTCCACCGAATACATCGCGTCCGCCATCATTGCATGTGGATGATTTTCTTGCATTAGAGACTTGCGGCGCGCAACCTACTGGCCCAACGGGCTACAATAAAATACCTCCTATTATGCGTGGTTCACGTGTAGGGCGCAATCGTGGTACACGTATTTCGACGGCAGCGGCATTTCGGTATGTTATTGGGTGCTATTAGTAAAAAATAAGTGTTTAATGCATTTCTTTCTCTTTTTAGCAAATCCAAAGTTATGCGCACGTCTTCGCCCTCAACTTGGGCAGACGGTGGGTCGCCGCATTATCGCAGCGCCACCACCGAACCACACTTTGGCGAAACGCATTACTCGGGCAATTCGCATTTCGGTGGACGCTCACGTGGTCGTGGCGGCCGCCCGCGACCCTATCTACGCTAGGATTTAAGCAAAACTAAACAAAATGGACATAATTTAAGTTAACTTAACTTTTTTATTAAAAATATAAAAGTACATTTAAACACACATAAGTAAACGTGAATCTCTGTGTACATATATACTATTTACAAAAATGTACAACTAAATTCAGTGCGCTCATTATTCCGTAATTACAGTTGTAAGTCGCACGTCATGTGGATCTAGCGGCAAAGTACTTTCGTCTACGATTTGTTCACGGAATGCCAAAGCCATTAGTACTGGTTTCTTCTCAGGGTAAATATTAAAATGCCGGTGCAAAAAGCTGTCATAGTAGCCCATGCCATGGCCCATACGACCGCCACTTAGCGTAAAGGCAACACCGGGCATCAAGAACAGATCAATACCGCGACCTGTGAACGTAGAAGATTTATATTAGTGCAAAGGATAGATGTCAATAAACTCAATCCGACCTTCTTACCATTTGTTAGCGAATTCTCACGCCCCTCCTTTTCACTAGGTTGCTTTATATTCCATTTGGTTAGCGGCAGCGCCTCGTAGTCCGCCCAATCTTTGACGCGCACCATTTCCATAAGCTTGCCGCTGTACGTGGGCACAAAAACATTTTTCTGCTGATTGAAGAGCTCACGTAGCAAAGGTAGCGTATCTACTTCACTGCCAGTGCTTAGATATATGCTAACATCTTTCGCTTGACGAAAGGCCTCAGAGGCGATCACCTGCAAGAAATTGAGAATGAAAATACTGCAAGAAATTTAACCAATCCCAACTGACCTTTTCGTAAATGGCCCTCGATTGTCGAGCTATTGACTCGGCGCTTATAGATGGTATGACCTCGATCTTCATGCGTTGCCGCAAAACTTTCTTCAATGGGTTCCGAACGGTTGTGGCCATTTTTCTTAGATTATGATTGTTAAATAAAATGCAGCCTATATTAAGCACGCTCCGCGCCTTGCTGTGATCGAACCGGTACTGTATACTATGCTTTTACTGCACCAAAACTTTTAAATTTTTGCATGAATTGCCCTCTTTGTCATGCCTTATCAACAATTACTCTAACTAGTGTCGCATTAGTTATCTGCTGCTTGAGCATGAAATTAAAATCAAGCATCCACTTGGGTGCCAGGGGTTATCAATGACACTAGGGCAATCTGCAGCAGTTTTGTTGTTTATGTGAAAGCCAGTGTTTGTCGTCTAAATGTTTATCATGTGATTAGCTTGCATTGCCGATTTGCTCCGGGCCTATAATTTATTGTTTACAAGGCTCATCAACAAGTACTATGCATATTTTTAGTTACTTAAAATCAAATTATCAAACGTTCCAGCCCACTTGCTATCTGCGATTTTTTTTGTTTACCTTCCAAAATTAGGAGTGTCGAATTAACATCGATGAGTACAGAATATCGATTTTTGCATCGAGAATTTTCTAATCGATGCAGGAATTTAAATATCAGAGAATGAATATTATGGAATAAATTTTGTAAAATAGCCGTTGCGCCGTTTGCCTCCGTAAATTCTCGACAACTTTGTTTTCAATAGAGGAAAGGTTAGATTAACAGATGTCTTTGTGTCACACCTGTACCGATATACGTACCCTAAGAATTATCGATATTAGTTGATCGAATATCTACATGAAATTGGGCATCCATAATTTCATCTGATAACAAATGCCTTGTACACAATTCTTATCAGTCCATTGACGTGCCCAGGGCCTTCGTGGGGGAGGGGTTAAGGGGTGAATCCTCCCCGGGCCTGGACTAATTAAAGTGCCTGAAATATCAGAACCATAACTTATTGATCTTGCAATCAATTTTTGACCAACTTCCCGATGACCTAGAGACCTGAAACTTCACAGTTGGCTCAGCACTCGATGACATTAGTTGCGTTCCAGATGCTTCACGATATTCACGAAATTCACGATTTGCAGGAACAGCTGTTTTCTCCATTAATAAACCTTATGGGAGGTGGTCACCAGGAACGACTTCCTGTAAAAACCTGCAAATCGTGAAGCATCTGGAACGCAACTAATGCAATACCAAAGACGAGTTAATCCTATAGCTGGGGCAGGCGTCGAGATATTTGAAAAATATGTATTTATAGTCCGATTTGGTTTATATTAAGAAAGCTTGCTTTAAAAATATTTGTTTTTACAATTAACTTATTTAAAATGCAATTGCTCCTTCGTTATAGGCTTTTATTATCAAAATATTCCAATTATTAGATTAAACAATTTATCATAAATTATTTTTGTATAGGGCCAGTGATTCTGCAGTCTGTGTCCGATTTTTCTCTCGACGGCCCTGGACATGCATATCAGTTTTCGGATGCGACGTATTGCGCGAGTGATTCTTTCGAAATACCCAGTCAACACTAGCAGAAAGCAGAGTTTCGTCTAATATGTAAAAAATGTTCCAATGTCATCTGGGTAATTTTTTGTATTTCGAGTAAAACTTTGTTTCAAATTAGTAACTTTTCCTATTCCTTTATTGAATAAGAGTCTTTTCACTTTCAAAACTTAACATTTTTGTACAACTAGATGGTCAAAACAAATTTTTTAGCTTCACATTTACGTAGCCGTAAAATATTCTGATTTCAAATTGAGGGCAATGCACCGATTGACAACAATCCAAACGTATTTTTTTCTTCTTCGCTGCCATCATTTCACTGTTTCGCCGGTTGCGCTGCTAAATTTGCATTCTTTGTTGCATCGCCGCTTTTTGTTTTCAAATTCTTCAATTGCTCCTTTTGCTAAATGATTATAAAAGCGAAAGTGCCAAAAAGGTATTTTTATTTCAAGTTACATCTATGTATGTACATATGTATATGCAGTAGCCCCGCTATTTACCTGCTTATAGAAAAATTCCTCCTCGCGCGCTGCCTCCATTTTGCCAAACGAGCCGCCTGCCTCACGTATGGAGCCGCCACCGCCGCCTCCCTTGCCAGCACCACTACCCAATTCACCGACTTGCGACATTTTGCGACAACTAAATTAATGAATTTTATTATTCTCGAGTTTCTCCACTGCTCACAATCTATGTAATTATGTAAGCTTTTTGTAAAACAGAAACTTACTGTTGTTTCAACGCTTGTACGCCAACGATTGAGCGGCGTGTTAGCATTTTTATGCTTTTTTACTTTGCTGGCGCGCAGTAAATTTCTCTGGATTTCACAATTATTTGCTTATAGTTTTGTACTCAATTGTTTAAAAATACTTTCGTACACTAATCGAGCGTATTTTTGTAATTCGATTTCCGTTGTTTGTCTGCACGTTACAAGCTAATGATGCTGAATGATGAAATAGCGAAATACAGCAGCTGTTTTCGGCTTAGCTTGCGCCTAAATGTATGCAAGAAGAAACCATTAGTAAAGAAATGTACGGTAAAAGGAAACTGAAAAAGTTATTCCGGAAATCCATTTTTGAATTACAGTGGTAACTCGACTCTTGCACCCGTTTCGGTTCGAGGTCGCTATATCATTAGGAGTGTACTCGTACGCCCAACTATCTAAAGTTTTAGAAAACTTTTACTGGTTTTTACGTTCTCGTACCCAAAAAACTTGCAAAGTAGGGGAAATTGAGAGAGCAAAATATGAAAGGGAGCTGCAAATTTCTGCTGGAAAAATTTTCCCAGCTAAAACTTGCAAGTAAGAAAATCAGCTGATCACAAACACATGTAATGAAAATATGGCCTTTTTGAGTTGTTTATTGCGAATTTTATTATTAATGCTAGTATACAAAGAAAAAGTGAGTAAATTTAATATGCACAACGTTTGTTGTGTTTATTTTTCGCTAATTTACTATTAATGTCCAGTTTGTTTACTTTAGAGTGTGCTGACTATGGTTGCCGTATGACATTTTTCATTTGTACCATAATTTACTTTTAAATATACCAAAATAGATTTAAATGCAGCATGCTGAAATGTTGTTTGCTGAAGTTTTCGGTTTTGGTAGGTTGATTGTTGAAATTAAAATTTTATAATTTTAAAGCTACATCTGTAGCTATATCTATTACAATGTTTTTGGATCAATGATGGCTGTTTGGAGGAGATACTCTTGTTTTTGAATGCGTCACCATGTGATAATGCGTCACCATGAATAATTATGAGAAAAATAACTTATTCATTCCGATATAATTAATTTGTAATTCAAAAAGGTTTTTCTTATCGAAAATTATTCAATTGTATAAAATGCCAAATCCGGGGATAATGTACCAAACAGAAGAAAAATTGCCAAATTAATCATCAGTGGCAACTGTGCAAGTGATCAGCTGTTTCGAAGGTTGCAAGTTTTTGCAAATTTCGCGTTCTCGTACTTCTGTTGATATTTCGTCTCTTTGAGAGCGAATGCTGTTAAATTCTCAGAACTTTTGCTGCTGGAGAATTTTGTCCTCTCAATACGAGTACACACCTATTATCATCGTTACAGCGACTTAAAAGGAAATCAATCAGACTCATTGCGTTAGTCGTAAATTGGGCTAAATTGTGCGACTCAACAACTACTATCGTGGTGAAATAAGTAAGCGACGAAAAACGTCGAAAACTATGCAGTGCTGCCAAGTTTTTCCATTTTAATACACTAGGCGAGGGGAAATTTTCCAGGTAAGTGGTACCCAAGCAGAACAGAAAGAGCCTCAACTCGTGTCTACGTATCTAATGGAACCATCAGGCCTCTTGAACGAACCCAGCTTTGTAGTTAAGTCCCTTTTAATAAATTTTACCAACCTAGCCGTTTGACCCAAGTTATCAATACCACTGCAGTACTCTTTGAAGGAATCGCTTTTCGTAGTGCGAATTAGTTTCTTGTACTCTCTTTGCGTACAGCGAAAGTGTTCCCAGTCCATCTCACTGATAGTTTTGATATCCTGGTTTAGGAGTTTTCTCAAATCACCCCGCGTATGACGCTCCTTGTTCCTCTAAGGGTAGGATGAGGCGCACAAGCCTTATTAAAACTGGCACATAGGACAACCGTTAAATTAACCACCGCTCCATCAGTAGCCTGAGCGGAACGTATCCTCGATGACACGGCAGTCGAGCGCTGGAACTCGTTCTTAAAACACAGCCAATCTGCCCTTTTAAAATTTCGTATTGGGGGAGAGGTCACTGCGCAGTTTTCGGTTGATGACTACTCAGCTACATACCTGCTCTCTGCTTTCTTATCTTCACCACCGACGGAAATTGTCAGAACAAACGACTAGAAATTTGTTAAAATTCGCTTAAAAGTGCGTATGAGTAAAATTCCGGCCTACATTTTCATATCACACGTTCACCCTGCATTTGTTCCATTCTCAAATTGACATGTTCATCTGTCCGGAAATCATATCCGATTTTTAGACTTTTTTTTTGTGCTGGGCACTTTGCCGCGATTTTAAACCGATATATCTAGCAGAGTGACCACCAAAGAGGCCTTTAACATCGTACACGTTCATATAAAATCTATCGAAAGCTGTAGAGAGCTTTTCCGCCAGATATATGTATATATCTATGTACATATCTTATGTGAAAAATCCATATCCTTTACCACTACGTCTTTTTAAATAGCTTTTTCAAAATCAGAATTTTTTCTTTTAAATAAAACAAACTTTAACCGCTCAAATATACATACATATGTATTTTTTATTTAATTCTCAAAAAGAAAAAAAACTTAAAAAATATATATATGTTAATTAATAAATCAATCATGGCCCTGCTGTGGCAGGCCTAAATTCTGTTCTGTAGTTTCTGAACATTTTACACTGCTAATTTATTTTCGAGCCGAAATCTACGCGTTTATATGCACAAAAGTGTGTATAACAACAACAGTGAGTCGTTATCGCGCCTCTACCGTTTTTTTTCGTTTACATAAATATTCTTCTATTTTTCGTACAACTCTGTAGTTGGTCTTTTTTAAATTTCCCCCATTTTCAGATATGTACCACTGTCCGGAAACGAAACGTATATGTAATATTAAAAACGAAAAAAATTTAAAAAATCCAACGTGCATATAAACTTATTTTTACCAAAATATACGTACTTAATTTTGTCTTTTCGTTTCAATAAAAAAAAAGGAATTTTGAGAAAAAATTTCAACTAAACATTGGGGCATTGGGCATTTGGGGTAACGATTCCATACCATTGGCTAACTCAGTTTCGGCACGTGGACGCTTCTTGGCTGCGAGTTCATCACGCAACTTCTGTTCGAGTTGTGCGCGCATTTTGGTTTCCAATCTGCGCAAGTTCATCGTTTCCTGTCGAACAGATGAAAAAAATTCCATTTTTGTGAGTATTCTGCTACATTTGTCAAAAAGCATTTTTTTCTTTTCCCATTACTGCACTTACTTCGGCTAGAAAGAATAGCTCCTCCATGCAATTCTTTTGTTTATTCATTAAACCCTGTTGCCGATGAGCCTCCATCTCTGTGTCGCGTTCCAATTGATTGACTTGTGCTATCGCAACGTTTATGTCTGTCGTGTCATACCCAGAGCCGCGCAGCGTCTGTTCACGCATCTTCAACATCAACTTGAGGTCGTTCAGCTTGAAATAGCTTTCCTCCTTGAAGCCGCCTTGTAATTTCTCCAGTCCACCACCGGGTATATACGGACTGTATTCATTGCCGAAACATCGATTTGCGCAAAAGCTGGAAGAAATGAATTTCAGCAAAATCAGATTATTCTAAGTAAAATGCGTAAATGCATTTTCGTTGCGCATCCAACGTACCCCAGAAAATTTTCAGGTGCGCCTAAAAGGTGACGTCGAAAGATCCTTGCCAACATATTTCTTAAAAAAATATATATATTTTTTTTGTACTAATTTGTTGGGTTTCCAAAAACGTTTGTGAAGATTTGAACTGACATAAGGTACCAAGGTTACTGAATGTTGCTAAGATTTGTATATTTTCCATTGACTTGGTTCACAGTAAAGATTTTACGGTAGTAAGATCATAGCGAATTAGTTGATTGAAGGTCCAATTAGTGGTGGCGTAGCCATAACCTAACCGTAGGTTTTTCGCCATAACCATAAGCAGGTCTGAAGCTTTTGACAAAGTTATGGTTATAGCACCACTAATTGGGCCCTAAATCATTTCGATTGATAGCAGAAGGCGCTAGTTTCCTTTGATCCTTGAAATACTATCAAAACCGAAATGGGTTTTTGTTTATTTGAACGAAACTTCTTAATCTATTTCGGAGATGTTGGCGATACGTGGACAGAAATTGAACGGCTGCGTTGAACGCCGCTTGGGGGGGGGGGGGGGGGGAAGATAAAAGATAAATACAATAATAATAAAAGCGACATGGATAAATAGAAATGTGAAGGAAAAGCGCTGTCAAAGGAGGAAGAAGATGAAGATGAAGATAAAGATGTAAATAAAGATTAAGATAAAGATACAGATAATGATAAATATAAGGATAAGGATAATGATAAGGATAAGGATAAGGATAAGGATAAGGATAAGGATAAGGATAAGGATAAGGATAAGGATAAGGATAAGGATAAGCATAAGGATAAGGATAAGGATAAGGATAAGGATAAGGATAAGGATAAG